ATCGATACGGGGCAAGTGCATTAGAAGAACTATCAAAATTACGTGTAAATAAAAAAAACCCAACCCACAAACACTTCCTGCTTTCTCATTTGATAATAAGAAACCAGAGTTACGGCCGCACACAAAAGAAATCCAGTCAGTAATCAGACACAATGTCACGTCAAGGGCTCAAGCGAATTCTTAAAACACATCTATTGTTTGCAAGTTAAGAGTTTACATTGAAAATTGTTAAAAGCTTGACCGTTTCTTACTTTAAAATACCGTATTTTTATCATTCTCATCAGCACGACGCATCTAACACGAGTGCTCTTCATGGGGTTCTGCAGCTCCGCACGCTGAAAATCAAGGGGATATAAAAGCTGAGTGGGGACAGAATTCAGGTGCGCTGCATGAACTCACCTTTGTGATCCATCGGCTGGAATTTGGTTGCCTTGTGCTAACCCACACCCCCATAATTTGTTACCACCTTCACTGTCATTACCAAGCACCGCAAACGATCGCTTTCACTAAAAAGGCCAATCCAAAGCTTCCTGAGTGGAAGAGCCACGCTCCCCTAGCTGGTATTAAAATCACTGCTATTCATATTCCATGCCAGCGAGCGATTGTTTCCTCTGGAAATTGCTGCAAAGCTGGAAGAGCCATTTTGACAGGACACCCATTTCTATTCACAAAGATAAATCCTTTATTTAGTAATAATTATCTATACACAGGTGAACAACAGGAGTCAGGGTAAGAAGCCTTCCAGCAGAATGTTTACACACTATGATCTTAAACCAGCTTTTTTTGTTGTTCTTGAACATCTATCATCTTCCTGTACAATGTAAATTTTACATTTCCATTCTGAAAAGAAACTTGAACGTAATTTAGAATCTCAGTGTTAAGAGATGTAGGTAACTACTAATCCATGTAACGGAACTGCTGAGAGTAAACCGCGGGATCACCTACAAGTAGCAACTTAGGAATTTCCATTTGTAGAAAGCAAAACAACCTCCCCACCAACCACTACTGAAGTTTGCTGACTCGGGAGGTTAGAATAGCCAAAATTCTCTGTGTTGTCTTCATAGCCTGTGCCTAGCAAGTTTTCACATGGGAATTAAAATGAAATTCTGTAAGTTCATAGTTAATAGATGACTGTACGCTGCAAGAAGCAGCCCCCTTTTAACGTCCATTTTTCACAAACACTTTCCTTTAAAAACAGAGAATGAAAGGGGAAAAAAGAATTAAATAGCTTTTTCCACTCTAAAATTGCAGACAAAGATTTTATAATGGCAGTAGATGGCTTGAATTTTTAAAAACAACCAGCTAAACGTCCAGAATCTGAAAAGCTGCTGTTTAGAAAAGTGATGTTCCAGATTATAGAAGAGCAGAATTACCAAGATCCACAGAGGCTGTGAAAGAGCTCCAAAATAAATCCATTTTCTGTAAGAAACTGGGAGGCTTTTTAAAGCAATGCCATATATACTGTCTGGAGTCAGTGTGCTACAGCGAGAGCCGTGACTCCCATTCAGCGTTTTAAACGTCTGCTTCCAGGGGTGACACTTTGGAGTCATAGTATAGGAGTAAAAATAAATAAAAATAAAATTTAAAAACCCAACCAAACGAAAAGAGCACAAATTTTACTTTCTAGCAGACAAGAGAATCACCAAGTATTGCTACCGCTCCTGCGAGACGCCTGCTCCCCAGCAAAACGCAACGCTCAGCGTTTTGTTCTTGTTCGACA